ACAGGATTGTGAGCTTTTAGCAACTTGATTGCCAATCGAATCGTACTCAATTGTTAAGCGAATGGGAAATTGATAAAATCTCGATTTCAACTTGATTGCAACTCGATTTTTACTCAACTGTAAGTCGATTGCAACTCGATTGTAATTCTCTTGGAAATCTATTGAAAGTACATTGAAATTTGATTGTTACTCTACTGAAACTTTATTGGAAGTCAATAGCACATCGATTGCAACTCGACTACAGTTCGATTGCAGTTCGATTGTAACTCGATTGCAGCTCGATAACAACTCCATTACAACTCGATTATTCATACTTTTTAATAACATATACATTTAGTTTGCCTCTTCAGATCTGTCTCCCCCTTTAGGTAACACACACTTTCTGACTAAATAAAATGACTATGTGCTAGTTAAGGCATAAGCTTAGCTTAATTTGCTTTAAGTCAGTTGACTCGTAAATAATTTTGTCTTTGTTTTTCTGAATTTGAGTAAGTCATACTCTAGTTCGTTTAAAGCTTGTTACAAAGATGATGAGCTGTTCTTTTTATTGCAGATAATTTATATTTYCTTGCATGAGTGAAGTTAGTAAGAGCTTACCTTTGTTACCAAATGATTGCTGCAAAGAGAGAAAGAGACGGGGATAAGTTTATATAGAGAAATGTTTTATATTTACATATATACAAACATATATTATATAAAGAATTTTTGTATAATGTTGAGCTGTAAGCTGCACATACATATGTTAAGCATATGTATATAGGAGAGAGAGAGAGAGAGAGAGAGAGAGATGGGAAACTTTGATGATGTTGATAGGCAGGGACATGCACATGCATGAATAGCCAGGCATATGGGGAGTGAGACAGCGATTGCATGTGGCGTTCCGCGGACACCATCAAAAATTGGCAAATGAATAGCGGGACACATGCACGTACACACACACTTACACACATACATGTACATATTCATATATGCTGCCGTGCGCTGTTGTTGTTTTGAAGGATGCCGAATGGGATTGAATCATTGAATTGAATTGAATACGTGCGAGCACGAAACAGAAAGCACAGTTACGTGTCCTGTTCGTGTTGTTGTTGTTTGTGTTTGTGTTTGTGTTGGTTTGCTGCTGTAATGTATTAGCAGGATGTCACTGTATTGCGGCCTCGAATTATGCATGTCTGTGTGTGTGTGTATGTGTGTGTGTGTGTAGATAGCAATATCAACAACAACAGAAACAACAACAATAGCAAAATCATAGATAGGACCCTAAATCCTGTCGCCTTCCCAAATGGAATTGCACGCGTAAAAGGCATCAAATGTTGTCCGAAAAACCAAAGGACATCAAATAGAAAAKAGCAGAAAAAAATGAACAGAAAAGAAGCAAAACTAAAAAAAAAAAAAAGAAGAAAAATAGAAGAAGCAAACCGAAAAAAAAATGAAACCGAAACCGAAACTGAAACTGAAGAAAGCAAACAACAGAAAAAAAAAACGGAATGTTTTGAAGTGTTTTGCGAGGTCCGTCCGTGGCTGTGGATCCTTTTGGCTGTGGCCCCAAATTGACATCCGTTGCTGATTTTTAATTAAAAATTTGCGACGTGTGAAGTTGATTTCAATTTGGCGGGCCTAACGGACAGCTGCATGATGTAGTATAGACAGCCAGTCGACAGTCTGCAGACATGTGATACATGTGTGTGTGTGTGTGTGTGGGTGAGAGAGATGGAGAAAAAGATAGAAAGAGAGATAGAGAGAGAGGGAGAGATAGACAGACTGTAGAGACTATCTTAGTCATGCGCGTGTCTGACCGCTGGCAAGTACAAATGTGCCATTAGCTAACAGATGTGAGAACAATATGTTATCATAGTTAACATTGGAGAGATAGAAAAACAGCCTCGCTGCTTGCTCAAACTAATTTCTTACAGTTGGCCTGTTATCTAAGTTAACATACTCTCATAGTTGACATTCATAGTTAATATGTTCCCTTAGTTAACATATCATTGTTAATATATTAATGTTAACATTAGTGAGATAGAAAAACAGCCTCGCCGCTTGCTCAAAATAATTTCTCACAGTTGGCCTGTTATCTAAGTTAACATACTCTCATAGTTGACATTCATAGTTAATATGTTCCCTTAGTTAACATATCATTGTTAACATATCATATGTAGTTAACATTAGTGTGATAGAAAAACAGCCTCGCTGCTTGCTCAAACTAATTTCTTACAGTTGGCTTGTTATCTTAGTTAACATATTATCCTAGTTGACATATCAGAGCTAATATATGTTGAACATATTAGCTCTGATATGTCAGATCATCAGAGTTGACATTACATAGTTAACATAAGTGAGCTAGAAAATCAGCTTCGCTGTTGGCTTAAAAAAAGTTCTAAAAGCTAACATATCCTTGGAATTTTACCATAGTTAACAGGTTCCCATAGTTAACATGTTAGAGCTAACATAAGTCAGATCAAAAGACGTTTTCGCTGCCTGCTTAAACTAATTTCTTAGCGTGGAAATATCCTTGGCATATCCTGGTCTAAGCCTGGCTAGAGAAGTACCTACAGAGTCGTCTTCCAGCTGCAGAAGCCGCTTTGTGTTTACATTGCCTTAGCATAAGAAGGGTTCTACCTGTAGGTGTCAGCAGATATCGTTCATCGCAATCTATCTTGAACTGCAAGCATTCATATATATGTATATATATATATACATACATACATATATACTAATGCATGTTAACCTCGTCGTAATTATGCCACCAAAATCCCCATTTGCATTCACTTTTAAGCTGTGGGTACTTCAAATTCTCAACTAATTGAGCTATGAGGCATACGAAGTGCTGCGGGTGTCAAAGTCATTGTCTTACATAATGCCGTAATGACATTAACCTTATCAAGTGCTTATTTAATATATGTGCATGTGTATAAACACATGTGTGCGTTTGTGTGTGTGTGTGTGTTGAGAGGTTCTTGACGCTCACACGCGCATGCGATGTGTGTGTGTGTGTAAGCAGAGACGAAGCAGAGGACATAGGCTAGGTGGTGTGTGTGTGTGTGTCAATGGGCAGTGGCCAGTTTTATGACCGATACGCCGAGTCCGGCCCACTAAAAAGCTATTAACAAGTAATAATGACAGCAACAACAACAACAAAAGCAGGCGGCCATAAACTTGAGTGCAACAGTTAGAGCAGTGGGAAAAAGTCGCGGTTGCAATGTGCCACACTTGAACTCATAAATTCGAAGAACCCGCAGATAACCTACATATATGTCTATGGTCTCTCCAGCCGTCGCACTCTGTCCCTTTGTCGCCCAGCGAACGTGTGCGTTTGTGTGTGTGTGTGTGTGTGTGCGTGTGTGTATCTTTATAAATAAACATTTGTGTGTGTGTGTGTACTACGTATCTGTTTGCATTTGTGTGTGTGTGTGCTGTGTGTGTGTGTGTTAAGCAAAGTGCAACTGTGTGTGTGTGTGTGCGTGTCTGTGTGTGCTTAAGCAAAGTGCAACATCAACAATGACTGCTGTGGCAGCAACAAGTTGATGCAGTTGCTGCTGCTGCTGCTGTTGCTGTTATTATTATTATTATTGCCGTTGATAATGACAACACAGATGACTGATGAGAGATATGAATTTGTCTGTGTAGGTGTGTGTGTGTGTGTGCGCGTGTGCGTGTGCCTGCCACCGTCGATATACCCATTAAAACATTAAAGCGATGCCCAAGTTCACAATCTTTGTGTATGACGGCTACCGGCGACGCGACGCGAGCGTCAAGCGCACAGTGGCACAAATGCTATGAAAAATGTAATAAAAAATGCATATACAGCTAAAAGTATATATAAATAAATATACATATTAGATTAAATGGATAGGTGAAAAATATTAAATACTTTTATAAA